AGAAATGTTGCAAGGCTGCACTGTAAAGCAGGAGAAAGAACTGATGCAGGTTTTTGAAGATAGTCTGCCACCCCAAACCCAAGAGCTGTGTGGAGAGTGGCCTGCAAGGGGCTGCATCACCAGAGAGTATCATCCAACAGATGCAGCAACAACCTTGCCCATTGTCCCCACCAGTGGAAATTGCTCCTTGATCCTCACAGGCACGGTGCTGCCTTGAAGTGGGCCAGGTACCACTGCTTGTGGCTGTGCCAGGCAACTTGGTCAGGGCAGAGCCCAGGATAGGCAGCACTTAGCCCAGAGAAGCCCAGCTGGTGATGTATAGGGCTCTGGCACACTCCCTGTGCCCAAACACACCTTGAACAAGTGCTTGATCACACTCATGAAGTACTTTGTTGAGCTTAGGTTCGAACTCAGGCACAGCACAAGTACTATCCTATCAAAAACTCCTCTGGAATACACTTAAAAGCACTGAAAAGCTGAGAGAGGCACTTGGACTTGGGGAAGAGGAGAAGAGCAAAGCTGAGAGGCAGATGAATCTTTTCTCACTCTTTCTTTCTGCCCTTCTGCAGCTTTTACAGCATCCAGCCCTCACCCACAATAACTCATCAATGCTCATTTTAATTGCCTCCAGCAGGGTAATGAGGGAAAGCAGAGCCTAAACTCTGGCTGACGATGCCTATACAATCCTCTGTCAGAGAGGAGGTCCTTCTTAGCCTATCAAGCAGTAAAAGTAGTCTTGAGTACCTGGGGCCACATCATTATGCTCTTTATTACATCTCATTAAGACTACATATTATAGAAGTAATATTGTAGAGTTGAACAGTGCCAAGCCAAGAAGGTTTTGCCATACTGCAAGCATAGGAAAATTCTTCATCATTTTGGCTTTATTGGCTAACACAATTGTCTTTAAAATAGTCAACCAATGTACCATGCAAGTAGAAAAATTCAAATTTACAATAGAGTGACCAGTAAATAAAAATCAGATTAAAAAGACTTAAACACAAAAGACCTTTTAAATCACTATGGTTCTGCCTCCTGAGTTGTCAGGTTTTTAACACTTCACTGACAGACACATCCATATATATATATATATATATATAAAAAACATTGTTATGATATATACTTCCAAGACTGTAATTGAATAGTACTCAATGAAAATTTATATGCAGACTCAACTGATTATTTTATAAATTATTCAACCAATTAGTGACATGATAGTGTTCCTACTTAAAGAACAGTGCAGTGCCCTGCACAGGCCATGAAGCAGAGTTTTATAACTCAGCTGAATTTTTTGGTCCTTCAGTGTCCAGACCCAGCTTGGACATCATTTATGCACCTAAGCAGTTTACACAGGTGAATAGCACAGCTGCCTTTTCAGACAGCTAAGTTTTCCACAATACGATCAGCAGAAATATTGACAGTATATAAACTGGTATTTTAGCATTTCAGGCTTAAACAAAACAAAAACCAAAAAAACAGCAAAAAAGCCAGACTAGATTAACTAGAATATAATATTCTAGGACCTGAAGAAGGAGACATGGGACAGGAGTAGAGGCTGTTTGTTTATGTCTACACAGTAGAAAAATATCTCCTCAGATTTACAAAGGTAAAAATGTTTCATTCTTAACTGATGTTTCCCCTCCTGGTCACTGAAGAAGTAGATTACTGAGCCAACAGGAAGAAACATTTCCCAATATTACTGATATTTAAGCAAAATAACAATTTTAAAGCTCTGGGAAAAGGATATATATGGTGAAGGAGTTGTTTGCATAGATGTAATAAGTGAACCTGAGAGCAACGCAGGAAAGGCACTGCTGGCACAGACCCAGGAGGCACAATGCAAAAACAAAGCACAGCCAGGTGGTCTGATAAAACAGGCAATGGGCAGAGCCCTCACAAACCATCACTAATGTCTTGGCTGTCTTTGATGACTAAAGTTTAAAGAACTTGTTTAATTACCTTCTGCTTTGCTTTCCAAATGGTACCTAAGCAGCTTATCCAAAGTGAACAGTAAATTGCATGATCAGCTCTTTGGTTTGAGGTAAAAAGTAGCAGGTGAGGCAGGCCAGGGTCCTTGTGTGGACACAGGCAAGACCTAAACCCCAGACACTGAGAACCTGAGTCAACAGCAAGAATTTCCTGAATTAGGATACTACTGATGAATGTACCAGTCAGCAGCAAGGACTTCTGGTTTCCCCCTGGCAGTGTGTTGGTACCCTCTCAACTGCCAAAATCAGGGTACAAAATCTGGTCATGTCCTCTCTTCCTCTCTCCTAGTGCGTTTCCCTCAAAACACCCAGCTCCCTGCTATCCCTCCCCAGCCCAGAATTGGTCCCCTGCTGCTGCAGGAAATGGCCTAGCAAGGATGAAAGAGTTTGCAGAGGTTCCTGTGGGAATTCACATACCACCGTGCAAAAATCCCTGATATTAAACATGAAAGACCTGAAACTAACAAGGAGCAGGAAGAGTGACATTTAAGGCAAGAAACATCAGACATTTTAGAAAAAAATCCTATCCAGACAGAGAAACAACTTCATAAATCACAAAATGATAGAATCTGTCCCACTGGAAAATAACCATGAGAGAGGAATTCTTGCAAATGCATCTCTGATTTGAGAGATAAAATTAGAAAACCCAGGGTTGACTGTTGTGAAACTGTCTTTGCGTATTCCAGTAATTTAGAAAATTCAGATGAATGCTTGTGTTGACGTCCTGATTTTTCTGAGGACAACAACCATATTGGTACTACCTTTAACTGGTCCAGGACATCAACCCTGAACTTTGATCCAAAGCAGTCAAGATCAAGTCATGTCAGTGCTCAGGAATATATGAGCACAGGAATAAAGTCAGTACATACTCAATCTGCTAAGGAATTTTCCCATTAGCCAGCAAACAGTATCCCTTTGTTAAAGACCCAAAAATCTTGTTTGAGGAAAAGCTCTATGAAAATACTGCCACCGCTAGTTATATGAAAAATACCTCCAGGAAAAGAATTTAGTAGTGGCAATTCAAATGATAAACTCTAATCCATGGAACTCAGGAACTGAGCTGGCCTGAAGGTAGGGGAAATGTTTTTCTCTTAAGAAAACATTGACTTTTTCAGGGAAAAATTGATAAAAATGTTCTGGTCCCAAATCACAATATTTTGTTACTAAAAAGTGGCAACACAGCCTTGAGAACAGGAATGTCTGCTTCCTGGAAGGTAGCTTTAGATCATGTCCTTTTCCATAAATTATGTTTCCATTGTGTCCCCCTCCTTTTTAAAGACACAGGAAAATAACCCAGTTTGTTTCCGTTAGCTAGCTGCAGTAAACCTTCCTCCACCGTGACTGCTGGACAACCACAGACTCATAGAATGATTTGGTTTGTAAGGGGCCTTAAAGATCATCTAATTCCAAACCTGTGCCATGAGTGAGGACACCCCCTTGCACTTCCACCAGTTTGCTCAGAGCCCCATCCAACATGACCTTGAACATTTCCAGGGATGAGGCACCCACAACTTCTCTGGGCAGTCTGTTCCAGTGCCTCAGCACCCTCACAGTAAAGAACTTCCTCCTAGCATCTAATCCAAAATTAGTCTCAGTTTACAGCCATTCCCCCTTGTTCTGTCACTACATGCCCTTGTGAGAAGTCCCTCTTCAGCCTTTCCTTGTAGGCTCTCTTTATGTACTGAAGGCTGAAATTTAAGCCACACCAAAGCCTTCCCTTCTCCAGGCTGACCAATCCCAATGCTCACAACCTTTCCTCAGAGGAGGGGTGCTCCATCCCTCTAATCATCTTGGTGGCCTCCTCTCCCTTCCCTTGACCTGCTGTCCATAGTGCTTTGGATAAAGCTCAGGACACGGTTTTTGGGCTGCAAATGCCTGTTGCTGGGTCATGTCCAGCCTCTCACCCACCAGCATCCCCAAGCCCTTCTAGGCAGGGCTACTCTTGATCATCCCCAGACTTTGTTGATACAAGGAGTTTCCCAGACCTGGGTCCAGCCCCTTGCACTTCATCTTGTTAAACCTCATGAGATTCCCAAGGGCCAATTCTCATTGTCCAAGTCCCATTAGATGGCATCCCATCCTTCAGGTGTGGCAACCACACCACTCAGCTTGGTGCCATCTGCAAACTTGCTGAGGGTGCACTTGATCCCTTTATCTATGTCACTGGGGAAGACATTAAATGGCACTGGTGCCAGTATGGACCCCTGAGGGGCACCACTTGTCACTGATGTCCATTGGAACTCTGAGTCATTGTCCATCACCCTCTGGATGTGACCATCCAACCAAGTTCTCATCCAACAGTTCTTGACCAATCCTTGTAAAAAAAAGTTTATCTTACTAACATTTCTATACTGACAAAATAAAATTAAAGCATACCAAAAAATATATATTTTGTATATATGTATCTACACCCAGAGACCAATATGGATTTGCAGTAATTAAATCAGTCTAAATAAACTTCTTTTGAAATAACTCCACCATGTAAAATGAAGTAATGCACAAGGCATAAATACATACCACTTACATAGGTGCCTTTCTGTTAGGAACAAAGAGCTGTGTGTGCATCCTCCCTCACCCATCATCCCACCACCCCAATAATAGTTATGTTTTAAAGTTTTTCTGCCGTAATAAAATATCTTTTCATGAGTATTCTTAAAAATCAAATTGAAAACTCAGCTGGTCTGTATTTTTACTATATTTTTAAGTCCTCTACTCCTAAATTGCTCTTTTTATCCAGACAAGTCAAATTATGCTGGTACTCTGTTTTTCTGTCACATACCCTTACCTTAAAATCACAAGTCATCCTGCCCCATCCAGAACATGAGGGCAAATTCACACGCTACTTAAAATGCCAAGTAAGACCCAGACACTATAAAATCCATCATTTTAAACTGGTATAGTATTTCTGGCTTAAAAAAAATAAATGCAGATGAAGCTATCTTCAGCAAAAGGTAAAAACCATCCCCTGGGAAAAAACTGCCTACAGAGTAAACTGGAATAAATGCTGCAATATTTATGAGTATTGTGGTGCTGGGAATCCCCTCTGAGAGCCTCTGATTTACACTATACATTGATTTTTATCATAAGCTGTTCTAAAATTAGAAGAGGCCAGGATCTGACAAGTATCCTTTATATTTTAGTCCTACAGATGGATACCATGAGATACTTTCTCAGTTTGAAACTCTTCCAAATCCAGAGGCACCAATCTGACATATTAAACTGAACTTATACAAAGTCTTGTGTCTTTACATCATGCAACATCATTTATGGCATGCTGGGCTGTGACAGCTTAAGTTATGAAAATGCAGTATCACGCAGCAGATCAGAGATAGCTTTATAGCAGGTCTCATGAATTTCTTCATCCAGAAAGAATAAATTTTGTGTGGGAGCATTCTGCATAGAACCCCTGCAGAGCAATAGATTAAAACTGGATTTTAGCATTTACGTCCTGCTCAGCTATAAATCAGGAATTAGAATTGATAATGGCAGTTATCCATCAACAGCAGTGCAACTGCAGATGAGCCGGAGTAGTTTTATGGTTAAAAGGAGTTACTTTTTATTGTTATACTTAAAGAAAAGCTCTTCTATTTGGAATGTTTCTAGGCTCTAAATAGGGAATGATCAGATCCATGCGGATCATCAGCATGAGGAGCATCAGGATGAGGAAGATCCATTTGAAGTAACACCTCTCCAGATTTCAGACCATCATTCTGAAACTCTGGCAATGGGCTTGAGCAGTTCACATTGCAGCCTCCTCCTGGCAGGAGAGCTGGACAGCTACCAGAGCCGGCAGGACTCTGCCCCGCGGTTCATCGTCGTGTTCGCTGCACAATTGAAAGCTTTGCGGAACTCTTCAAAGTTGCTCATGGCTCCAATTACTCTGCAAAGAGAAAAGTGATTGACATGCAGGTTGCCTTTTGTCAAACACTACAGGTCTGCAAGTGTTTCAGTGTTTTCACTTCAGGCTGAATTTTCAGGCTTTCATATAATTTTTTTATACAAATAAAACCAAAAGGTTCAGGAGAAGGGCTCCCAGTTAAAGTTAATATGAAGCAAATACTGTTTCATGCTTTGAGAAACACCTTGCTTTTTTAGAAACTCGATGAAAAACAAATGCATTTTCTGGTACTGTGTCCTTTAGAGCAATTTTCTAATGTAACCCTTGGCAGTACAGGTGGGAGATCAGCAGTGGCTGTGCATGGTGGAATCCTCCTTCCAGCCCTGCCAGACAGCTGCAGTGCAGCAAGCAGGAGGATATAAGCACACACTGGGGCTGTGCTGGCAGTGGTTCCAGTGGCTCCAGATTCTCCTAACAACACACTCTGCCCACACACACCCACACCCACCAGGTCCCTGGGACTTTGCAGGCTCAGGGGGCAATTACAGCCTCTTGTTGGGCAGCTCACCTTGTACCTGTGAGCCTCTCAATTCCTCCTATATTTTGGAAATACATTTTCTAAGCCTTCTGCAGTGACCAGCTCCCGAGCTCTCTTGCTTCTACCGCAGGTGATGTGATACTGAACAAGCAGCACATCCCTGCCTGACACAAGCTGGACGATGTGTCTGCATTCCAGACTGGCACCTTCAGGCTTAGGGGAAGAGCTTGGTCTTCTCATGCAGTTATCTCTGGCTCCTGCTTTCATGTCTGCATTATTTGATGCAGTCAAAAACTATTATTTTACCATTGCTAGATTACAATTGTGTTGTTTGCTGCTTTTTCCTACGCTTTTAATCATCTTGGATTTACTAACCTGAAACTTGAAATGGTATTAGAGTTTTCTGACTTAAAAGCTGAAAAATATCTACTGTGATATTAATTGTATACCTTTTCTTTGTTATACAGTGAGGAGGCATTTTTCTATATTGCAGACAATCAGCTTCTCAGTGTAACTCAGCATGGTAGAAAATATTCTTATTACATTGATTAGACTTTCTGTGAGTAAGAAAATTAGCAGTCATCTGGCACAAAAAAGCCTAAAGGTCAGTTTTGTAGGGAAGATTACCAAATGAGGTTAGGCTTCAAATAAGATATACAGCTTTACTGTAAAAAAAAATTGCAGATACATATTCAGGGACTGGAGCAGCAAGAGCTGGTCATGCAGAACTGCTGCTGATGGTGGGAGTTCTGCCTGCCATGCCAGGGATTTCAATCTGAAACTGGCATTCAAAAATAGCAAAGACACATGCTAATACTGAAAATCTGCCAATTAAAAACAAATAAACCCAGAATTTATCCCATCAAAAAATCTTTATGTCTGCATGCATGCCACTTTTCTATCCATAGTTTGATATTGCCACACATTAACTGAAATCAGACTGGTGTGTCTGGATTTCATCCTATTGAATTATAGTAGAGACACCTTTCCTTAAGCAGGTCATGCTGGCCTCCCTTGGTGATCAACAGAAAGATGTATTTGTAGAGTAAGTAATTTAAATTTATTACCTGCTGAAAGATTATTTATACATATATATTAACTTCTAAAATGCCATTTCCTTTTTGACTGTGAAGAGAAACTGGTGAGAGTAGTTCAGATGCACATACCTGTGTTCAAGATGCGTTGTTCATTTCTAAATTTTTATTATTACCTTTTATAATTACTTTTAAGAGGGCTGTTTGAGATTTTTGGACAGAAAGAGCTGTCAGTGTTGGAGCTAGCTGTGTTGCGGTTGTGCTTATAATGGTCTTGGGACATAAATGGAATCAAGCAGGGAGAAACTGATAATTTGTTAGCCCAGTTGATATGATTTGCAACAGGAGACAAAGAGCAATGCTTTTCTTCAGTTCTGAAACAGATGCCAGTTGTCAGTATCTCACACAAAAACTAAGAAAATGTTTTGTCTATATTTTCTAGATCTCAAATTAATCTAAACTTCTCTCAAATTTTCTGTCATAGCCTGATGCCTTCAGGACTTTTCCTAACAAATACTCTATTCCTAGAGTTCCATGTGTATCACCATCTCATGGGAATGTAGCTATGTAATGATTCAGAATATAAATACACCTACAGGTAAATAAACCTGAGGATTTTAAAAGACAGCAGATGGTTATTTCACCAAAATCTTAACAAGGGTAGGAATTATGCAAAGAATATCTCTGTAGGCTGAAGGTCAGCCTGATGCTCCTGTTCTCATTGTCATGATGTATTTTCAATGTTAAAAGGCACACAGATTTGCATACTTCACTACTTTTACCCTCATTAGCTGGTATAACACTCTTTTAGTCAACAGAAAGTGGCAGGATTCTCTAGAAGGCAAATAATCCACTGTATTGTGTGAATGTTATTGTGAAGTTAACACCCTTTGTCCAAATAAAGAGGTAATGTAGTACTTGACCAAGAGCAAATACAGAATTCTTGGTTAACTAAATGGAACCAACTTGAATCCCAACAAAACCAACATGTTCTTGGTGAGGAAGCAGAAAAATAAACTCTGGCTTCCTAATTCCTATAAAATCTCTAAAACTTCTCCCCTTCCCATGGGAAGTTCATGAGTGTCTGTGGACAGGGGAGCCTGTGGGAGGCCTTTAGGCAAGGGCAGACTCCCTCTGGTATGGCTGGACTGCCGTAGCTCCTTCAAAGTGTCACTTGAAGGCCAGTGGAAGAGTTTGGTCTTGGACTGAACTCACAGGGCACATTTTGCTTTGCATTAACAATGTAATTCAACGTCAAGAATTAGGAGCTTTTAATGAACTCAGATTAAATCAAAGACCCTTCCTATATTCACTGTTTTCTAAAGTAGAATTGCTTAGGGGAAGAAAGTGATAGATGAGGCATTTTAGATACTCAGGCCATGATTACAGGACATCACAGGGATCAGAGTGTGTTCTGGTTCAAATGCTTTTGAAGGTAGATGCAAGCTCCTCAATTTTACAGAAGAGCATTTGTAATAGTGAAAGATAAGCTAATAAAACCAGTTAAATTTCCATCTAAACCAAGAGCACAGTCCAATTTTGTCTTTGCTCTTAACCCACTCTTAAATGCTGTATTTCTGCCCTTCTGTTCTGCAGCTATTGATTTCTGTGTGTACACTGAGGAAATACCTTATTTACACTACCTGAACTGAGGAGGACTGTGAGCTCCAGTATATATTTGCTCCCTCGCAGATTCCGGTCTAAAGGAGTTGCATCTTACCTGATAAAATGAAAAAAAACAGAAACAGGCACATTATCTGGGATAACTTTTTATGTAAAGCAAAATGTAATGTCACTGTTCTGTTCTTAAGATGCCTATGACTTAAAGAATGCATAAAATGGAAAGACACCATAAATTCCTACTTTGTTTCACCTTTGCCAATCTGCAGTTTTCTCTTGGTATATTCTCTTGTTTTTCAAATCCCCTAATGGATCCAGTGTCCACCCACTGTTTTTTCTCTACACACTCTTTCCCATCATCTAATCACAGTCACTTTTACTAGTTCTTTTTTTGAAGTTCTCTATAATGGTACCTTGTCTTTAAGCTTGTGCTGTAGCATCTCACACCTTATCAATTACCAAACATACTTCTTGGTCTCAAAACTATGTAATGTGTCTAAAAGGTACACATAATGATGCTTATCATCTCTAGAACTGCTGCTGTATTACCTGACATATTTATGCCATGTTGGAATGTCAGTTTCTTTGAAATTACACATTTTCCACATTTCCATCAATGGTCCCCAGTTCCCTGTTCCTGATATTTAACCCAATTGTAACTGACCAAAAAACAGGGTAGTTTGAATATTTGCACAACCAAATTGTTGTATCTTACGCTGTATCTATTGCATGAAAAATCTCCTTTAAACTTCCCCTACCTTACTTAAGTCTCTACATTAAAAGTTCCTACAAACAAAATCCTTTAAGCCAGATTGCCCATAGGATTTCAGTGGATTTCAGTGCAATTTTGTCTGGCTGAACACAGTTCTGACATTTTAAATAAGTCTGTTGAGTGTTTTGAGCTTTGTGGAAATAGACTGAGCTCGAGAGTACCTTGCATACACTGCTCTCACTGTGCATGTGCCCTCCCTGCGAGGGATTCCTGCAGTGGTTATGTAAGTGGTTCTGTAAGACCCCCAGGTGTTCCCTATAGCTTCAAAATTTTCTTGGAGAAAAACTGGCACAAGGCAAAACTTAATTCAGCATAAACAATGCAAGTGTAATATTTTGTTTATTCAGTATAGTCAAACTGAAACAGCCACAGGCCAATAGACTGCTACACTGACTCTCAACAGAGAAATTATTTTTAACCAGGACTCCTGTTTTTTCAGTTTGGGATAATTCATTCCTTCAGCAGGTGACAAAGTTTTATAGTATTTTACTTCTCTTGTGGGGAGTTTGCCCCAATTTGTTTACCCAAAGAAATAATTTCTGATCCTCTCCCTTGCTCAATGTTTTTTCTAAAAAACTCACATCCCTTATCAAAGTTTTGTTACAGCATATTTAGTGTACAGATGGGAAAAAATAAACTAACACTCTCTTCACTGCTGCTTAGTTTCCTTGAACAACGTACACAGTAACAAACGGTGTTAAAATTGAAGGAGGCTAAGGAATCAATACATTCAGGAAGTCCCTTTTGGTGGAGGGAAGTAGAAAGAAGAAAGAAAGCTGCTGTGACGCGCTGTGCAAAACCAAGAATAATGTCAGCAGTTGAGGTACCACGAGTAGTTGAAGACAAAGAGGGAAAGAGAAAGAAATAATAATTGTGGAAGAAGTCTCTGCTTATACTCTCAAAAATCTGTGTTTGGGTGATGCAGATTGCTGAAACCAAGCAAGCTCATTTCTGCACTGCACATAGTTCAGGTTAATAGATGGGGATTTGAAACACATTTGTACTACTCACATGGGCATAACTCAGAAAGAAAAGCTGGTTATGTGTGAACTCAAGGCCTGGCAGTAAAGGCTCTTCTTCTCCTCCCCTCTTTTCTGCAATCCATTTCCTGTATGCCTGATAAAAAAGAGATACTAAGTGCCTTTCAGCAACATGAAGATAACTACAGCTTTTTTTTTTTTCTTTTATTTTTCTAATAATGCGATGTTTCAGATATTTTCCATCTACTTACCCTGAAAGCTTCTCGCAAACCTCCATTATCTGCAATGTTTTCTGCCAAAGTTCTCTTCCCTTTCACCTTGGCAGAATGAAAGAACATCAGTCATTTGACCCATTTCTGAACTTACTACTCAATCAACTTCAAAAAGAGGGGGGAAAGTAAAACAAGGCAAGAACAACCTCAGTCAATATCAACCAACTTTGGTTAAGAAAACTGGGTTTCCATGTGAAAACTGCCAGTAAACTATTTTCTGTGATGAGTTATCCTGGCTCTGGCCATAGATTTCTGTAGCACAAAATATAGTAGATAGAATGCACTTAAGAATCCAGTCCCTGATCTTTGAGCTGAGTGTCAGTAATTTTCCCCTAAGGACTGTTTGTATCTGGTGACATGTAAGATCCAGTAGCCTCTTGAACTTTTATCTAAAAGGCTATATTTATTTCTCTACATAACTCTTAATGTACTACTGGGATGCTAAAATAACTTCTAAGTCATAACATAAATAAGCGTAATTAAAAATAACTGTCAGAGACAGAATCAAAATTGGTAGTGTATTCAGTGCTCTAAAAATATCTGCAAAGGAGATTCCTGTTGCTTCTCCTGGGTATTGATTCCAAGAGCAGGAGCAATAGCAACAAGAATGTATGTAGAAAACTGCACTATATAAACTTTGTGAGGAGACTGGTCTCCTGGCATTACCAAGTGCAATATCATTATAAAGAAATCCTAATTTCTGCTGGAGTAGCATTATCTCTACTCACCCAGCTACTAAGGTCCTTGTGTTACCAACTGTATTTGTAATTAAGCCGTTTTACTCTCTCCTGTGCCTCAAATAAGCAAGATAATTGAGCAGTTTTGAGCAGGGCTCTGAAGGTCAATGGCTCTGCAGCCATCAGCTCTCCCGTGCCACAGGGATCAGTACAGTGGGGTTGGCATCATTACTCACTTTCAGGATGGAAAAAGAGAGGAAAACAGAGAGGAAGAGGCAAAAGCACCAAGGTACTTGTGCACAGCCCCACACTCAGTGCAGATGAGCACCCAAATTGGACTCAGGACATCTTACTTGATGCCTTGGATACAGCTTAATGGGAAAAATGGGAGCCATGGAGGAAAGTACAACCCTTTCCTGTCAGCTCTCCCCTGCACTCAGGAGGATGGAGATGGAGGTGAGAGAAAAGCTTTTAGGACAAAAGGCGCTGGGACACCAGGGAACGGACAAGCACACCAGCTGCCTTTTTCCCTGGCCTTCCTGCTTACACATTTTACTTGCACTGGGCTTGTGAAGGAGGCTGACTTGAAGCATAAGATCAGGATAACCTAACAGTGGCACAGGGCCACAGGTCATCTAAAAAGTGTAAGAATTCTTTCTGCTGATCTCAGGCAGCTCTGGATAGGGTATTTGAGACTATTCTGCACAGAGAATTTGTGGCAGGGATCAGGGACCATGACAAGTCCTTTATTTGATGAGATGACTTTATGTGATTATTGCACTCTGAAGCTGTTTCTATATCCACTTTTTCTTTCATTAGGCTTCTTTTCTGGAGATATTTTTATTGTATACCAGATGAGAAGGAAGAAGAATAAATAGCTTTCTTGATCCATGAAAAATATTCATACAAGGGTAAAAAGCCTGCAGAGTATTGATGTAAATGACAGGCCAAAATGATAATAAAAAAGGTCTTTGCTTGCGTAGCTCCTCATACAATATCTCTAGAATATGTCAGAAAATTGGAAAAATCTTCTGTCATCTAAAAAGTGCTTTTGATTATCCTGTGGGTATAGAAGGACTGGGATGACAAGGCTGTGGGTAAAAGGATCTCTCTAGTAAACCCATCCGTGGACTTCAAAGGCAGTTTCTACACTGAGAGGAAATTCAGACCTACCTCATCTCAAGAGACAGTGCAAAAGGTAAAGGGGATGGCCAAGCCAATGGCCAAGGCACGGGAAGAGCTCAGCCACATCCTTGGGGGGAAAATTTTAATGATTTTCTTTGGGTGGCATTTTTATAATGACAGTTTTTGTCCCAGAAATATTCAGAAATGAGCCTGAGAATTTTTATTTGCAAATTAGCTTGTTATGAAATACTTCCAAGTCTGAGCTGCTGGACTTCAGACTGAATCATAATATGGTCTGAGATCAGCACAAAACAAGCCTGGGAAAAGTTCTAGAACTGTTGATCAGCATTTCATGGGGCCTCACTACTCTTAAAATCAAAGATGTACTGGTATTTCTAAAATGTAGGTAGAGGGGTTATAATTGGGTGATGACTAGATTGTGTGTTTTATCCTGAAAACTAAGATTAAAATTATGTCCCAGACAACATTACTGGAATTTCATCTATTAATTTCTGAAGGTCTGGGATGTATCCTGTTTATCCTCATTTTGGACACACATATGAATGTACATATTTTCAGAAAAGCCCATACCTGATAGACAATAAAACAGAAACAATTCCCTTGGACTTTGTTTCTCAATCTTTTTCTAGGAGCTACTATTGTCATATTCCCTTGATTAAACATACAAATGGGGTCTGTGTGCACACATGGAAGAAATAGCAAGAGTGGAATCTGAAATAAAGTAGGGCTTATGCATCCATTTTATAGCTGTGATAAATAACAGGCAGAATTGTTAAAGGAATCTATAAAACATGCTATTAGATTCTTTCTAAAAGAGTGACTGCTCAGTTTTCATTACAGACCTCATCTTCAGAAGGCATTTAACATGCTCACAATAGTTAGAGCAGCCCTGCTGAGTGGCTTCATCCTCTTCCTCTGATTCCAAAATGATGTGATGGCAAGAAATGGTTTAACCCTGTCACCAGAGTGTGGGTAGTAGTATTTGACTGGACTAATCAAACCTGACAGACAATTTTTAACACAATTATTCACCTCAAAAAATCATTTGTTGTGAGAAATGAAGCTGGTAGCCTAATATCCCAATACATTGGGATTTATAAAAAGAGAACTTCAAAAAAAGAAAAAAAAGCACAACAACCTGAGCTCCCCATGTACCACTGTTTTCAGCCTCTAGTGGTTTACATACATGTGAGCCAGCCTGTTTCCAGTAGTAACTGTTGTATTGGTCAATCATGCATTTTGTCTTCTCTTTAAATTTTTCTTCAGAGTCAGTCGTCCACCAAGGGTTTAGATTTCCATTTTTGTCGTATTTCCGACCTCAAAAGAAAAGAAAGAAAACAAATGTTTTTGCAGGAGAAAACTTTTACAGTTTAGGAATCTATCACCTTCACAGAAATGTGAGGTGAATGTTCTCATGGAAGTGTGTGTACAGTGTGTACAGGATCAGTGAGCATAATCTTGACCCCATTCAAATCAGCAGTGAAAAGCTGGCATTCTATCTATTGTTATAATTTCCATTTGCAGAAAAAGATAGTAATGACTAATGAGTTCTATAGTACATTTTATAATTACATAGTGTAAGAGGCACTTAGCTTTCTTGCAAGTATAATTGTACTTTTCATCCTCAGACCATATGTCTTTCATTCTGAAAATATGATGATAACTAATTTATTATTAATTCTTCACTTGATCAGGAAAAAGTCAATTTCATGCAAACTTCTGAAGTTTACATTTCTTCTTATTTTGGAGCAAAACCAGAACTCATGAAAACAGTGGGAATACATACATCCCATTGCTCAGGCTGATGATCACAGCAGTGACTTCTTTCAGCCTCAGGTCCTTGCTCCCTATCATTTGTAGGACATTTAATCTCCATCATGACTCCAGCCAGTCAGACACAAGACATGTTGGCACTTTCCTGAGAGTATGTTTAGCTGCCCATGCAGATGCAGCATTGCTCTGTGATATGATTCCTCTTTGCAGCTGCAGGAGAGAGAGGTAAGGAGCAACACAGACATAACACCAGGTACTGAAGGTGTTTTGTTTCATCTTTATATTTATTTTTTTTTCCCTCTGTGTATTGTCTTGTTCAAGGTGACAAATTCCCTAGAGATGTATTTATTTCTATATTTGGAAGGTAAGACCCTGGAAAGAAGCAGGGGTCTGCTTAGGGAATCAAATCTTAGGTTCCTTTCTGAGGGGCAGGAGACAAAGTGGAGTAGTTTAGGTGCTCACCTACACATAGGAGGAGTTCATGAAGAAAAATGTCTTTCTGGACATTCTGGAGTGTTTTCTGACACAAAGCATTGGGGAGCATGAAAACAGGATACATTATGTGGTTTTCTTCTTGTTTCATCGTTGGGTTCTTTGTTTGGTTGGGGTTTCGTTTTGTTTCCTTTTTGTTTTTTATTTTTTGAGTTTTTTGGGGTTTTTTTGTTTTTTAGGTATTCAATATTACACAACCCAATCAAACTCCTCCTGGAGGAGGAGTTTCCAGTTCCTTTCTCCCTGCACCTCCCTCCTCCCCTCTCTCCCTTCACTTTCTCTCAGGAGCCCAGTTTTTAAAAGCACTTTGCTGAGACAACCAAACCTAGGTAGTGGCAATGCTCCACTCCACCCAGTTTGTCAGGACAACTGGATTGACATTTTCTGACCATTTTTTTCCCCTCTCTCTTTTTTTTGAATTTAATTTTAATACTTTGCAACACCTTTTCTATACCACTCTTGTTCCAGTGTTGTATTTTAAAACTTCTGCAATTCTCTTTTGAAAAATGTCAAACCTGAAATGAAAAGTTTTCTTGGAAGTCATTTTTATCAACCAGAAATTATCCTTTTACCCTTCCCACTCCCTCCTTCCCCCTGTTAGTTTCAGAATCTGTTGCTGATTTAGTTTTCATTCAAGACAAAAAAAGAATCAAAACTGTGGTTGGTATTTTTTACCAAATAAAATCCAAATCAGACAAGCAAGATTCCATATAAATAAATCTAACAAATACAAATTTATAATTTCTTCACACAAACTCAGTACCATTAAAAAAACCAAACCTATAAATGCTACAGCATGTACAAGTCAGCTTTCTAATCTGTCAACTCTGTAAATAAAAAAGTTGTCAGAATGCAGTCAAATACTCACCATTGCTATCGAATCCATGAGTAAACTCATGGCCAACAATCACTCCTATGGCGCCATAACTTAAGGACCTGCAACACAAAGAAGCAGTTTCCTCAGAAAGCGTTCACAGTCATGAACGTTAAAGGACGGAAGACCTCTGGAAAGATCATTATTGATATAAAAAGAGGGTGAGGAGGCAGGGGATATGGTTATAAAGATCAGACCTACACAATTTTGACTTAAAGATGTTGAAAGTCTTAATGTTAAACTCTAGTTTAAAAGAAACATTTAATCTAAAACTTTGAAAGCATTGTGGTAGTTCACTCTTCCAACCAAATCCCTTAACAGCATCATATGAGCTCCAAAACGTCTCCTTCAGCTGATGGCATTCTGTATATTCTGGCTGGGAACAGGACAAAGCTGTAACTACTCTGAAGCAGAGACTGTATTTTGTAAAGAATTAACAGAACTCCATCTAGTTTTAAAAAGAAAGGTCATAAAATACCCTTGCACCTACTCTAAAATAGGGCATGATATATAGTCAGATCTAATGTACCCAGAAAACAAAGTAAAAAGAAATACTTTGTATTCCTGATTGACAATTAATTATATCTTCATTATTATATCCCAGTAATTCTGCTTTTAGGACAAATAGGGATGAAAGTGGGAAAAGCTCAGGGCTTTTTTACACTAAATACAGTGGATTTCATGAGGGTAGGTGTTTTACTCAATGCAACTTTATTTTATTGAGTTGCTTTTTGTGATTTTAATTATTTCAGTTCTTGAGATGTTATACTTCGAAGTAGCTTGAAGTATTTCTAATACATCTTATTGAAATGGAAGAAAGGCAGAGGGTTTTGAAACAACATATGATTGGACCTAATGATCCATAGTGCACTAATTGCTCATCTCAGTTATGTCCAAAAAGAATTATATCATTTAATTCCCTCTGCTCCCATGAAAATCCTCCTTTTTTTTTTCTTTCCTAAATGGTACTTTGCATGTGTCAAAATCTCCCCTACTGCTTTTTAGCCCAAGTACTGTTACAAACCATCGCCAAAAAATGCAGGTTAAAATTATATGTTTCAGCAATGGAAATATCATCCTTTTGTGTGACAAAGTTGTAATTTTGTGTAGCACACAGTGATAATTACCCCTAATTAATGTACTATGTTAGACTTGTTTTACATATCTGAAGTAGAGGGGTTATACAGGATCTTTAACAGCTGGAGAAGTATAAAAATAATGGCACAAAACATGTAAAGAGATCGAGAAGAAACAAGCCCTATTACTAAATACATCTTATTTCTCCTCTAAGGTTCTTTGCTACCATGAGTGACAGGACAAAGAACAGGCTGGTGTTCTGGCACTCCTACAGCTTTCCTTAGCTTCAAAAGATGTGGATAAGGTTGCAGTGAATTTTGGCCTTTGAACCTGTGAACTCCAACTCAGCATTTTGTCCAGCTTGACAACATTTTTTCCAGAAATTTTCCCAGTTCTGTTCATGCTTTTTACTTCTGGGCATAGTTGGACAGAGGCAGGAGGGATAAGTGCAGCCCAGCAGATTCCATGTTAAAGGGGAACTTTCTGGGACTGGGGAGGCTCAAAGACCTGTAAGCTATGAGGTCAGGTAGTTTGAAGTCTCTGCTTCAATATACCTGGCACTGAAGAATCACAACTGTGAACTATGGCATTTCAATGTTATTTTATTTAATGTATTGAGATGTAAAAGTGACAACTAAGCTTCACTTCATGCAAATGGAGTAATTTGGTTTTGGTGGTTGTTCTGAAGCTGGACACTAAAAAGTCACTAAACGTTAACTATTTGCTAAGTAAGTTTTTCAGCAAGCACTGGTGACTTTTGGACGGTTTATCAGTTCCACTGCCATGTAGTTTCTTCTAAGCAGACAGAAAACATCCAGAATATTTCAAGGACAAAAGCAATCTGTTATCTGATATAATCCAGCTACATTTGTTTACTAAATTTCATTTTGATACTAACTTAAGCAAAACCAATTTAAGCTAAGGTAACCTTTAAAGAAGAGAAATGAGCAGAGTATAATGCTTTGAAAGAACCACAATTTTATCACTATGGCAGAAGGTCAGGATACAGAGAAATCTCTTCAGAAAGCAAAGCTGGAAACAGGTCTGCAATAACTGTAACAGAAAATAAGTTCGCCTTAACAAAAAAGGACTTTCTTCTATCCCCAATTAACACTTGCAAAGTCACCTGGCCCACAAGAATTCTCTTTGAATACAAATTAATTTGTTCTTAAATTGAACGTGTCTTTCTACATATATTGCCAAATTTCCTGCTTACAAGGACACAGTCCAGATTGGATGAGGGCAAACACAAAATGATCGAAAAGTTTGATTTTTTTAAACAAAGATTTATTAAGGATATATTTCACCAGTAACTGGTTTTATATAACTGCAAAATAACTTTCAGAAACTGCCATGAGAAACTTTTCATGGTCTTATCCTTCCCTAAAATAGAAAGCTATTGAGCTGCACAAAAGCAGTGATTTTTCAAACTTTAATATATGTGACCTATAATTACCCTTCCTCAGCTACATTGGTACATGGGCCTGCTCAGGCAATCTCAGAAAATCACTTATGCACATGAAGAGATTCTCATGTACCTCAAAAGACACAGACAAGGGCCCACTGCTAATCTTGGATATTAGCAGAAAGTGAACAATAAACTGATAATAATTGGCTTCTCAGGGTATTTACTTCTGTTTAGGAAGTGTTAGTTATCTGATTTACAATTCCTTTTAATACCTGCCATGTGCACACTGCTGCATCTGCGTGCTGTAGCATTGAAACCCTTCCACTTGGGTGCACTTAATTAGCAATTCCTGTGAGAAATTAGTCATCAGTTTAAGACAACAGCAACACATATGGCTCCCAAGGGTAAGAAAAAGTATTGCACAAAGCAGCACTTCTCAAAGGCAGCTCTTCCAGTAGTAAAAGCAGGAGAGAAGAAACAACCCAAGGGCCAAATTTGCCCTACAGAAGGACAGCAGTTTTCCTAGGTGGTACATTTCGGTTTCCTTCAGTACCGCAGCCTTCTTCTCCACACCCTCTTCTTTTTCTATATGTGTTTGCAACACCTTTCCCTGGTACTCCTCAGTTCTAGGTGGAAGAGGTTCCCTGGTGCAGTACTTACCTAGGATACTCTGTTCCCCAAAAGAAAGGCTTTTGAAGTTCTCCTGCTGGAAATCCTGCAATAACAAAAAATAAAAAGAAAAGAAAAAAAAAATAGTGAGGTCAATTGAATGCAATGCCCAAGGGCTTGAATTTTGTGACCTCATTTGTTTGGTTTCAGAAGGTTTTTCAAGGGGAACTTTCCCTCGGGCGGGCGGTAGAATGCAATAGAGAGGATCTCAGAGAGGCAGCAGAGATCCTGCCACATTCACATCTGAGTAAATGCAAGTGCTCCTGCCAAAAATAACCCATGTTAATACATGTGTCCTATGAAGAGTAGCGGACTATCCTCAGATGTGTTGACTGATCAATAGACAATACATAGGTAAAGTGCAATAAGAATTAAAATACCATTAGGTCAGTGAGGCTTCAGTGAAGCAAGAAATATGAAAGTAATAAAATAAGCCTGATTCTATTTATTCTATGAAGAACAGAGGTAAATTAACATACTTAGGCACTTCTGTAAGGGAAGACTGTAGATTATTAAGGCTGTAGGCTCAGCCTAGCTACAGATATTACCTGGTTGCTTCTTGTAGACTAACCAGTTGCCAAAAAAACATCAATGGAGACACTTTGGTGAATGATGAGAATCAAAATAGTTTCTCAAATTCAAAGTCACAGGTTCATTCATTTGATTCTAACCCTATTTGGTTTTTTGTTGATAGTTTGGTCATGGATTTCTTTATATCTGAGATAAGGCAACATCTTTGTCTTTTCCTTACCAACTCTTTCAAAACTTACATTCAAATGAAAAAACAAAAAAAAACCAAAAAAACCCACCCCAATAAAACAAAAACCCAAAACAAACCCAGTATGTTGAGTGTAATTCATGCCAAGTGATGTGGCACAAGGCATGTCCTCCTGGCATGTCCAGCTGCTTTCTTCTGTTGCTCCTCTGTGATGGGCATCATTACCTATCTGCAATTAGCTTAGAAAAAGTGTGGGCTTCAAACTTATGAGTGTTGTCTCAGGTTTTTTGTCTTCCTTCTCCAGATGTTGTTTTATTGTTTCAATCACAATAGCATTTTCTTTTCCAGCACTGCAAACCACAACTTTACCAATGTCAAGGACAAAGTTTTACTGATCTAACTCTCCTTGCCCCCCAGCGTACAGAGAAGATTACTTATTATATATTATGCATGTTTTAAACATTTTAAGTAGCAATCGTACACTCATACAACCTGATGAAAATTGCTTGTTAGGCCTTAAGAGCTGTGTTCAGAGCTGAAAATCTATTCTGAACTGATTACCCCCAAACACTGAAATTCAGAAGAGATTTTGGAATGTTTAGGTTCTGCTAACTAAATAATCCTATCCCCACAAGAACAGATGAGAGGAGCTGTGGCCAAAATGAACAAATGAGCCCATACTGAAGGTGGTGTGAACCAAGGTAGCACAGTCACCCCACAAACCATGTTTAATGATCACACAATCCTGGGTGCCTGTCACTGAACCAAGAGGCTATCAAGTTCTTTTAAGGAGCTGCAATTATTTTTTCCAGGTATAAACTTGTAGTGAATTTGCACTTGTCTGCAGTAGAGGTAATACACATTATTTACAGCAAATTAGGTGCAAATCTTCACTCAGGCTTATCCAGATACACTAAATGTGTCTTCATAGAACATTGCTGAAACACAGTCAGCTGTGAGTTAAGCCACGAGATAGTTTTCACTGAACAAGTCATTGTGAATGAATGGTAGGAAGCTCCAATGCTGAATCTGTACAACAGGTTGGTAATTATTTTACTCTGAGTCAGGATCCATTTTAGATTAGTTATCACTGAGCAAAGTACTGGTTGAAGGAGTGGTTTCTACTTCTGTGCATGTGTGAAAATACCACTGTAGTTTGAACTAAAGGAAGCTCATGAAGTATTTTCAGGCCCAAGCAGAGTCAGAGGCCAGTAGGATGTAATACACATTTCAGAAAACTTCAGGAAACTGGAATACATTATCACCAGCAGAAGTTGTTTTGTTTTGCTTTGTTTGAGGGGTGCATGTTTTTGTGGTTTTGTTGGTTTTGCAAGCAACAACTACATCATCCTTATAAAAAAAAAAAAAATCTAGGTTTGAAAGTGATTCTTGGTGAGGTAGTAAAGCAAATGGGTCCCATTCTCCAGAGGTTAGCAGCACTGAGGGGCTGAGGGTGCTTGGCCACTATTCCAACACTAGAAGGAATTCATTAAGAGCTGGCAACACTTTTTATGCAACGTCTCCTTCAGGCAAGCAACAACTACATCATCCTTATGGGGAGCAAGGATAACAACATCTTATACCTAGGATGTCCTTGAAATTGTAACATGAGATTGATCACCAGACAGTTTCTTATTTTGTGCTGATTTGAATCCCTCAATTTAGGCAATTCCCCTGTGAGGCCTGTTTCTTTTTTTGCTTGGCATTTTGCACCTAAAAGAATTAATGACAAAACTCAGAGAGCTCATAGCAGGCTGCAAATGCAATAAATACTAATGGGATTATTTCTATGCCACTGGAGTTTAGGTAGGCAAAGGACAAATCTGAAGGAATAAGACAGACTTCAGGGAATTTCACAACTTAAGGAATAGATACAGGCACTGAGAATGTATTTTGAGCTAACACTTGACCACAAATTTAGCCTCTGTTGTGCATCTTTTAAAGCTTTCTCTCTCTACACAGCCCCAGAAGAGAGATAGAGGCTGACAGTTTCTCTCTTTATACACTAGATTGCAAATGCAGGCCCAGAGACTACACTCAAGGCCATTACTCACCAACAGCACACAGAAAGAAAACTGTTATCTTATTACAGACTCCACACAGATCCATCTGCCATCAAGACCTAGACTTGCAGAATCTGCTTTGACTACCTTCTTACAACCTGCCTCAATCTGCAGCAATGTCACTGGGCTGCAGCATCATTCTGAGATGGGCACTGGTGTCACAGGCCACAGGAGCACTGCTCTGGGGACAGCTGAGCTCAGGCTGGCACAGAACAGCACTGGTACCCTACATCCATGAGTCCTACTGGTGGCAAGGTGGGACAGCCAGGCTAGATCATCCTCAAGATGGACTTTGTGCCACTCATCCCAGCATGTTAGAGACCAGTTGTTCTGATTGCAACCCAACAGTTCAAGGAGTTTTCATCTGACCATCCACTCGAGTAGCCAATTCTTCAGCAGTTTGTATTTGAGCATATTAGGGGAGAAAGTCCTGACATTCTTTCTAAAGAATAAATCATATTCACATCTTTCTCCTCCTCCACTGAGCTAGTATCCTCAATGTAGAAAGCTGGTCAGGGAAAGTGTATCCAGGATTTACTTCATCATGTACACAGGGACTGTGGTGAGCCTGGCTAGCTTGTATTCCCTAGATCTTCCTTCTTGAAGATAGGAGTGACATTTGGTTTCTTCCAGTCCTCAGGAAACTCACACAGCCACCATAACTTTTCAAAGATTACCAAGAGTGGCTTCATAATGATGTTGTGAGCTTGTAGGTGCACCCTGCCACAGCCCATGGGCTTGTGTTTTCCCAGTCTGTTTAAACATTCCCTAACCTACTCCTCCTCCCCCAGGGGTAAATCCCCTCTGTTACCAGGTCCCCTGCCCTCTTTCACCATGACATTTTCCCTCAACTTGCTGCTGCTCCAGCTACACTTGCAGAAATGTTTCTTCACATCCCTTGCCAGATTCATCTCTAGGGAGGTTTTCTGCGTTCCAAACCCCTGTGTCCAACTTTCCTCTTAGTCACCTTACTGATCTGGGATGCAGGAGCACTTCAAGCAGTGGAGTATACCTGGCTTACTTCAAATATTTCACTCTGCATGTATGCTGACCTTGAAGATCTTGATAGAACTTTGCCTTCACAGGACTACTTTTAATGTAATTGAAGGTTTCTATCTTCATTTTATCCATTATGTCATTTTCAGCATCTCTCTCCAGCAAGGTGCTGTAAAGCTTGTCAGAATGTATTTAAAATTTGAAGGTGGCTTTTTTCTCCTCCAATTTTGCAAGGGCTTTGCTGTCATTAATAAATCCATTTACTAGCTAATACCTTCATGGTATTATTATACACACTTTGCAGATGAATACCCTTACCTCAGTATAATATTGGTAGTTTACCAAGACACAAATAACTACATGTGATCTGATAATTCCCTGAAAAAAAATACAGAGCAATAATGGTAAACTAAACCAAAAACTCATGAGAAGACTCACCAAATCAAGAGGAAATTTGGAGTTCAAATCTATATATGAATTCATATTTTATAGTTCAATTACATTATTCAGTTATATGGCATGATGATTTTAACTGAGCAAGACAAAGCCTTATTCCAAGTTAGTGCATCTACAACTTCCAATAATGAGGTTGGTTGGTTTAAAGCAACTTCTGACAGGGTAGTGAATCGCATACATAAGTAACAGATATGGGAGACAGCTGTGCTAAACCGTGTGATATACAGGGCACTCTGCCAATTGGTGTACTGGCAGTTCTCAGATGTGTTCAAAAGCTCTAACTTGTTTTTTCAAGTGTCACTGAATGAATTCAGATGTTGACTTTTAAAGGGATAATATATAAGCCAAAGACTAACTGCTGGTCAGTAATCAAAGAATATTGAATTTACATATGGAATTAAATGCGAAGACAGCTGGGGTGCTGGTTAGCTGTCTAAAAAAAAGCCCAAAGGACAGGATACATCTGTTTAAAATGGTTCCACAGACTTCTGTTAGGACTATTGAATCTCATCCCCAGTGATGGTTTTGATGTCCTCTTTGGGGTCTAGCTTGTCAGACTCAATGGCAAGAGGTTTCTGCAAGTTTTATCTCAGATAAAATACATGAGAAAACCTTTCAGACACTGTAGAGCACCCCAGACAGCTTTGAGCATCCATATGTAGGTGGCAGAGACCAAACTGTCTGTCATTACATGGACCTGAATCATACACCTTATTTTAAGTTTTATCCTGTGGACAAAGAGGATAGAAAACAAAAAAAAAAGTGTAAGAAAATATCAATTGTGCAAGGCACAGGAACTGTTCCATGTAATGC